ATATTCATGATTCCTGTACTGCCAATCAGCTTAGAGAGAGATCTAATAGTGTGGTAGTCACCATTGTTGAGGGAGAGACCTCTACTCGCCAAATGGAGATCGATCTTACTAACTATCTGGCCATTGGATGGCGCTGCTTGGCCCATGCCATTGGCCCTGGGGTCTTTGTGGTTCGTTTCCCTAATCCTCGCTCGGTTGCTCAAATCTTCTATGTGGGGCGGGTAACCCTCAAGACCACTGGGGTTGTAATTCATGCTTCCCCTTGGTCATCCGCTGTGGGATCTAAAGGGGTTATGGAAGTCACTTGGGTCAAAATCAGTAACGTCTCTTTGGATAAGAGGAGTGAGAGGAACCTTGCTGATGTGGCATCTCTAGTTGGGGTACCGCTTGAAATTGATGCTGCTACTCTTCATCATTCGGCCTCTGCTAGGGTTAAATTGGGATGTCGTAATGTGGACGCGATTCCTGTGATTGCTGAAGCTGTCCTGGGTGGGCACTTCTATGATTTCTTTTATGAAGTGGATCAAATTGTGGTGAGAGATCCAGAAAGAGAAAAGAATGTTGTGCAGGTGTCTCCTAAGCCTGGAAAAAGAAAATCCTACAGACAGAGGGGCGTATACAACTCCTGGAGCTCACATGGGCAGCTCCTCTTCCGGGCTTGGGGGGAAATCTCTCTCCATTCCCCGGGGGGAGGTGTCTGACCCCATTCAGGAGTCACAAGAGAGCTTGGAATCTGATGGCTCGATGCATAATTCGCTTGTGATTGAGACCATGGTGTTCGATCAGATGGCCTGTGAGGGCAAAGTAAGTAAATCAAACTTGAATACTGATGAGATACTCCTGTCTAGTGAAAAGAAAAAGAAAACCTACTCTGATGTTGTGAGGATATCCCAGCAGGTGCTGGAGGCGAGTAACTCACAAGATGCTGGGATCAAGGAGACCACTGATTATATTGGGGAGTCCTCGGAGTTGACTGTTGGTGTTGAGGTGATTCCCACTCCTCCCCTAGTCATTGAGGAAAATCTGCGCTTCAGCTCGTGCTATGTGCAGAGCAAGATGGAGCGAGTGGACGACAAGGCTATTGTAGTGGCCAAGAAAAGAAATATGGAAGGTACAACAAAAAACTCCAACTCTTTTGATGCATTATCTGATAGTACTCTCATCCTTAAGGCTATCAAAATGGGGGTGGACATACCTAACAATGATTTTACTTGCATTGACATTATTAGAGAACTTGAGAAAACTCGTAATGCTGACTCTGTCAATGAGAAGGGATATCAACCTCATGAAGGGGGACCTCTCATGTTAACTAATGGGAAAGGGGACCAAATCCCATTAGATATGAGGTGGGAGGAAGAGAATGTGAGTGAGGAGGAACCATTCACTGTGGTGCGCTCCAGAAAAAAGAGAGATAGAAAGCCTAATGTTGTAATCTCTAGACCTGTGACTAGGAGTCAAAAAGATAAAGCTTCCATGGATAGAAATAAGGGGAATGGTAAACCTACTCTGCTTCCTAGTAGGAATACCAGACGAGGGGGAGGGAACACCATTATTAATGAACGGGATTTTCTAGAATTGTCGAGGAGCAGGTAAAAAAGGAATGACTACCTGCTTCTCCGACATTATTAAAGATCATTCCCTTGATTTTATAGGATTACAGGAAACCAGAAAGAAAGAGATTCCTCCTAAGTTCTTACGTAAAATTGACCCCTCGAATAGATTTTCTTGGAACTGGGTTCCCTCTATTGGCAAATCCGGTGGCATCCTTTGTGGCATCAAAAAAGAAACTCTGGAAGTTGTTTCCTAGATAGTGGGCAAATTTTGCTTGCAAGCAGCCATTTTTGATATAAACCTCAAATGTGTGTGGGCCCTTATAACTGTCTACGGAGCGGCACAGGATGACAAGAAAGAGGAATTCCTTTGTGAGCTTGCATCTATGTGTTCCCACCTCCAGGTCCCTTACATTGTGGGAGGGGATTTCAACATTCTTCGTGAAAGTTGTGAGAAAAATAAGAATTTAAATCGGTCCCCTTACATAGATAAATTCAATTCCATCTTTCAATCTCTGAACCTCTGTGAGATACACATGGGAGGGGGCAAATACACCTGGTCCAACCACCCGAGACATCCTACTTTAAAAAAGCTCGATAGAGTTCTTCTGAGTTTTGAGTGGGAGGACCTTTTTCCCTAGTCACTGTCCGGAAATTGGTACGGGATGTGTCAAACCACAACCCTCTTCTATTGTCATCGAATTCGAATGTAGAGAGACCCACGCGACAACATGAGTTCAGATTTGAACTCAGTTGGCTTAAAAATGAAGAGTTTTATCCTATTGCTAAGAAGATATGGGAGCAACCAGTTGCTTCTGATGACCCCATTGACATCCTTAATATCAAGCTCAAAAGGCTGAAAAAGTACTTCAAAGGTTGGGGCTCCCATTTGTTTGGCCACGTGAAGAAAAAAAAAGATATTCAAAAGGAGTTGGAAGAGATTGAGACCTTAGAAGAAGAGGGCCCCCTAGACCCAGAGACTTTTGAAAATAGAACAACCTTGCGGATGGAACTTGATGATATCCTAGCTAATGAGGAGCTCTTCTGGCTCCAACAATCCAATGAGAGGTGGTTGATGAAGGGGGACCAGAATACAACCTTTTTTCATCGCGCGGCCAATGGCAGAAAACGTAAAAACACAATCCACTCCTTCACGGATGGAGAGACGGTGATTGAGGGCACAGATAACCTGTTGGCTCATGCCACGACTTATTATAAAAAAAATCGGCCCGGCCAGGGGAAACATTTTTCATTTATCTGATGATACCTGGTCGGAAGAAGAAAAGCTCACGGTGGAGGATAATATACTCCCGACTAGTGAATTCACAGAGAAAGAAGTCAGAAAAGCTTTGTTCGACATGGATAGCAATAAGGCCCCTGGCCCAGATAGCATCCCAGCTGAATTCTACAAACACTACCGGGATTTTGTTAAAACAGATATTATGCGTTTGTTTCACGCTTTTCACAATAACACCCTGGACGTGAAGCGCCTGAAATATGGGGTGATCACCCTGATTCCTAAGACCAATGGTGCTAAGAGAATCCAGCAGTACCGTCCCATTTGTTTACTTAGATGCCCATACAAGCTGATCACTAAAGTGATGGATAATAGAGTAGCCTTCTTTGCTGATAAACTTATTAGCAAACACCAAAATGCTTTCATTAAGCATAGAAACATCATGGATGGGATCCTCACCCTCCATGAGATCTTGCACCACACACACCTTTAAAAGAAAGTTGGGGTGATTCTGAAGTTGGACTTCGAAAAAGCATACAACAAAATTAATTGGGACTTTCTCCTTGAATGTCATAGTAATAGAGGCTTTGGTGAGACCTGGTGTGGTTGGGTGAAGAAGATACTAAGTAATGGCACCGTCAGCATTAAATTGAACAATATGACTAGGCCTTACTTCCAAAGCCACAAAAGGGTGCGCCAGGGCGACCCTCATTCCCCTTTTTGTTTAATCTCGCGCTGGAAACCTTGTCTAAGATGATTCGCCATGTCCAAAAGGAAAAGATGTTGACTGGGCTGGCCCCAGACCTCATTGAAAATGGCATTGCTGTTCTATAGTACGCCGATGATACGGTTATTTGTTTTGAACATGATGAAGAAGTTGTTGTCAACCTAAAACTCCTCTTATACATCTTTGAACTTATGTCTGGTTTAAAGATTAATTTCCTTAAGAGTGAAATCATGTGTGTGGGTGGAGACGACAACATCCTGGCAACCTATGCGGATATTTTTAATTGTCAAACTGGCACTTCTCGATGAAATACTTGGGAGTCCCTGTGAGCTATTCAACTTTGCGTAACCTGGATTGGAACTTTGTTGATGATAAATTCCTCAAATGCTGTGAAACTTTTATTGGGAATGCTGCTTCAGGGGGGGGGGGAGACTCATTCTCCTGAACTCTTCTCTCTCTAGTATTATTTATTACTACATGGCCATGTTTTTGCTTCCTAAGATGGTGATCTATAAACTGGACAAACATAGGAAAAGGTTTTTCTGGCAAGAGACCAACGGCAGGAAACCTTATCACCTTGTAAAGTGGACCAGGATCTGTAGATCAAAGAAAAAAGGAGGGTTGGGGGTGAAATACCTCCATAAATATAATATTAGTTTATTAGCTAAATGGTGGTGGAAACTTGAGAAACAACAAGGGCTCTGGCAGGATGTTATCCGGGCCAAGTATTTGAAAAGAGACTCTGTTGCCTCAGTTCGATGTAGATTTGGTGACTCACCGAGCTGGAAAGCCATTATGAAAGTTAAAGAACATTATTTTGCTGGGAGGGGGTGAATCTGAAAGCTGGCAACCTGGATAGGCTGTGGATCGACAATATTGAGGGAAATCCTCCTTTGCGAGACAAGTTTCCAGAGTTATATGATATATGTAACAACCAAGAGATTACAGTGGCCCAAGTTAGGGGCGAGGGGAATCCAGATCTTTTTAGAAGACGATTACACCCTCGGCTTGCAAAGCAATGGGAAGAGGTGAAACGTATGGTAAATTCCTGGTGATTTCTGATGAGCCAGACCAGGTTGTCTGGAACCTTGGAAAGAACAAGCGCTTTACAACCAAATCTATGTATAATCATCTGGAAGGTCGCCTTGCTGGATGTGATTATAGGTGGATTTGGAAAGCCAAACTACCTCTCAAGATTCAAATCTTCCTCTGGCAACTATTCCAAGATGCGGTGTTGACACGTGATGTCATGAAAAGACGTAAATGGGCTGGTAACCCGAAGTGCTCCTTCTATCAGGGTAGAGAAACTTCTCAACACCTCTTCTTCACCTGCCCAGTCGCGAGGGTAGTTTGGAGGACGGTGGGTTGTGTGTTTGGTACAGATTTGTGCCCTGATAACCTGTGGCAGTATTTCTCCTGGTGCTATACCTTCTTACCTGATGATGCTAAATTTTATACTTTTGGCCTGGCTGCGATTTGCTGGGCTATGTGGATCTATCGTAATCGGGCCACATTCGAATGCAAAAAACTGAGAACTCCTTTTGATGTGGTTTTCTCTGCATGTGGGTACATGAACTATTGGGCAGGTCTGATGGAGGGAACTGATCGTGAGGCGATGGAGCGCGGCGCTAAGATGCTCAAGACCAACGCAGCTGCCATGATGAGGATTTGCACGGCCCCAGCTGGAATGGCGATGGATTGAGGATGCGGCCGTTGAGTTTGCCTTCATTTGCTTCTCCTTGCTGCTGCTACATTCCTAGTAATGTTTTAGTTGGTGCCTTCGCCCCCGCGTGGGCTTTGCCTGATGCTCAAAATGTGAGCTGTTCCCCTTAGTTTGGAGACTACCTTCGGATTTCTCGCTGTTGCTCTGGTTAGGATAGGTGATTTTTAGATGGCACTGGGTTTTCGCCCCATGGTGAGCTGCTCGATGACGAGTGCTTGCAGTGGGTTTCCGAGTGGTGTCTTGAACTCGCTTTCCCCTTTCCAATTTCCTTAAGATTTAGACCTTTGTATTTCCGTTATGTCAAAGTAATGGAAAGGGGTAATGCCCGGTTCAAAAAAAAAAAGCCAAACCCGCATCATAAACACATAATCAGTTAAATTCCGGAATATCTTATCCTGGGGGTTCTCATGTAGTTGCACCGACGATAGCCACCCTTTCCCAAAAGGGATGTGTGTAGGATATAAAAATCAATGCAAAATGGTACTTCTACTGGTAACCCAACAACATTCCACCTTATTTGTGTACACATATACTCTACCACTCCATCTTCACTCAGGTATACCTACGGTTGGCATCAAACTCTCTCGACATATGTACTCGACAAAACATCCATTTCTGCTGCTATCATTTGAATAGGACACTGATGAGAAATGGGAGGAAAGAGCTAGTAGGATGATAGAAAATAGATGGACAAAATACGAGTGTGTGTAAAAGAACACTATGGAATAAGAAGCGCCGGGAGCAAGTGGATTTAGTGAGGAAAAATATTATGGAACGCTGCGCTCAACAATCGCACTGCAATAATACCTTTGTCAAAAAGATGTTGTCGGCCACATACACACAAACCTTTCATAGGGTATCATCACTACCCTGGCTGCAGCAACATACTCTTCTAAACCACACTCGGTAGCAGTTGAGTCTGCGTCCTAGCTAGACCATTGGTGTTCGGCTTTTTTTCTGTAGTGGATGAAAGTGTGGATCCAACTGAGATGTGTATTTTTCAAATTTAGATTCATAGACTTAAGTGAGCTTGAAATCATCTGCTACCTTCTGTATATCCAATAAACAACTTGTATAGTGTTTTCCGTGGTATCTACTATAATCACGTTTTATGTAGTAGACAAGTGATGAAAATGAGTGCTTAAAAGTGTGAGTGTGTACCAGAACTGAAAGATGTCATGGAATAACATGTTGTTAGGGCATTTGCAGAGCCTTGAAATGGAAATTAAATAGCCATGGCATCATGTCCGGGAAGGTTTATCAGGTTTGATGAAAGGAGTGCAGAGGATGGTCAGGCTGGCGACGTCTTTGGCTTATCACACCCATGGCAGATTCACACTGGAAGCGGGGAACTGAAGTCTGAGCTTGCGGCTGGTGCACTAGTATTTTGGTTTTCTCGTCCCTCACTGAGGTTTGATGCCTGCTGAGGTTGATCGGTAGTTTCCTGTTGGTTGATGTCTTTCGGTTCCGTAACCTGTTCTATCTCTTGATGGTTAGTGCTAGCAGGTTTTCCGTTAATCAATTAATGGAAAGGGGTGTGTGCCCCGTTGGAAAACAAAAATGTCCGGATAGGTCTACCGGCCCGTTTACCTGTCATGTTGAGGCGCAAATAAACTACTCCCTCCATTTTTATATACAAGGTCACTATGAAATATACACTTTGCATCTATATAAGGCCATCAATAGTAATCAAGGCAAAGTTAATGACATTTTCTCGTACTAACAACCTGTTTAATACTTGCATGCATGTAGTCATAATGAGAGTCAGCTCACTGGTAGAAAAAGGGCCTATAGTCCCGGTTCATAAGGGCCTTTAGTCCCGGTTCCTGAACCGGGACTAAAGTGTTGGTACTAATGCCCCGACCTTTTAGTCCCGGTTCAATCCAGAACCGGGACTGATGGGTCTCCACGTGGGCAGTGCGCAGAGCCCAGGCAGGAGACCCTTTGGTCCCGGTTGGTGGCACCAACCGGGACCAATAGGCATCCACGCGTCAGCATTTCTGTGGCTGGGGTTTTTGTTTCTTTTTTAGGGGGGGTTGGGAGTTTTTGGGCGTTAATTTAGGTGTTTCATATATTGTGTTAGCTAGCTATAATTAATAGAGAGAAGTGTCCTCTCTTATGTCCGTGCTTGGTCGACGCTACGTACTATACATATGTATAGAGAGGACTAGACACGCTGGCTAGCTAGTAAGCAAACGAAGGAAACAGAAGATCGTCATGAACATATATGCATACAGAGAGAAGTGATATCGACCACCTCTCCTTCTCCGAGAGATTGGTCGAACAACAAGTTCTCGTATATCTATCTGACACTACCGGCTACATATATACAATAATTATCTCTTACAAATATAATCATACGGACTCAGGGTCCACATAGAATTCTCCGTCTTCAGGGATCACGTGGTCAAGAAAGAATGCCGCCAATTCCTCTTGAATTGCTCGCATGCGAGCTGGTGCTAGGAGTTCATCCCGCTTCCGAAACATCTAATTTAGAGAAGGGGGTCAATACATATATATATATATATATATGAATGAATGAAACTCAACACAAATGATGGTAATAAAATAAAATTGTGAATGTTGTTATTTACGTACTTCATATTGTTCTTCAGTGTAGCCCGGCTCACAGGTCGTGTGGCGGATGGACTCGCAAACATAGTATCCACAGAAATCATTCCCTTGTTCCTGCCACAACCACTTTACAAGAAATAGAGGTTAATCCAACTGATAAGCAAGAATGCCAAATGGTATTGATGAAACTAGCGCTTGAATGACTAGTCGATGCGCTTAAAATGCTACTATAGTACTTACTTTCGGGTGTCTAAATTGCAGCTCCTTCGACAGTCCCAGAGCTTTTCTGGTGAATTTTCTCCAAACCCTGCCGGACAAAGAAAACAATTACTTGATATATCAGGAAATGAACAAAGTTGCTGATATGATGGTTAATGATCGATTTAACTTACTTCTCGAGTATTTGAGTCATGTCTGCATAGTCCTGGGGATCTTTTCGTCTTGAGTCTAAGACGGTTACTAGTCCCTGCTCAAGCTTAATCTCTAGGAGAATATAGTGGAAACTGCACACGCATGCATAACTCATCAGTTACATTACTATAACCTTGACTAATATATAAGGGAAATCGAATACGCACAAGACAGTAACACTCACTTGAAGTTGTAAGGAAAGAGTATTATATCTTTGTTTTCATTTATTACGAACGATCGTAGCAAGTTGGCCTCGGTAGCTGCGGCATGAAATTTAACCTGAGTTGCATCTATGAGATATGTGTTAATGAACCCAATATCACCGACTTGTCTTTTCTTCAATTCGGCGATCTTCAATCTGCATAATATAGTGAGGATGATTATAAATACATGCAATGAAAGAGCTAAGCTATATAGAGAAACTTAATGACAGAAGTAGTACTACTTACAGACAGTAGCAGGCGACCATTGTTTTATCGAGGGCCAATTGATTGAAAAACTGATAGAACTCCTCAAATGGAACAGGCAACAGATCAATTACAACGAGTTCATGCTCCTTTTTAACTTTCACATACAAAGTACTCCTCCCCCCAGAGTCTCTGCAGATTTTCAAGTACCAATCATGCAATCTTCGCATCGTCGTTGATAGAGATCTTTCATCTTTGATGAGAGGCTTCCCGTACTCGTATCTTTGTATCTGCATGTCCATGGGTTCATAATGTACTTCGTCGGGCAGGTAATCTGCAAGATTGCTATAACCGGGCACCATCCTCGGATCATTAGCGACGTTGTGGCTAGGCACCTTGAGCGGGGGCACGATTGCTTCACTTGTTCGCCGAGCTGGGCAATTTGTTTCCCAGCTCGTCGTTCTTTCAGACTTTGATCACTGACAGTACATCCCGACCGCTCCGCTTCGGCAAATTCCTTTCCAATAATGCGGTCATAGTTTCCTTTCGGCGGAGACTTCGGTGGTTTTGTCAGGGCAGCCAGAGTGCGCTTCACTTTCACCGGATCTACCTTCTCCTCCGGAGGTGGATGTCTCTTTGCTCTCAACCCTTGAAACCAGTCATCCACTTCGGTTAGCGCGATCTCAGCGTTCTCCTCCGGGGTCCTCTCATATGGTAACTTCTCTGGAGTCTTCAGAGAAGGACCGAATCTGTATGTCCTCCCGCCCCTGGTTGTACTGCTAGACGCCGACCGAGCAGACGGAGCGGTTGTCTTCTTTACTTGCTTAAGAGGCAGAGGAGAAGGACTACGACGCGCCGGAGCAGCTGGAGCGGCGGCAGGTCTCTTCCGCCCTTGCTGACGAGGCGGAGAAGGAGGAGGCTGGCTGCTCGGGCGCGTCGGCGCAGGCGGAGAAGGAGGCGGAGTGCCGCCACGCGCCGGAGAAGGAGCCGGCCGAGGGCCCTGATCGTCACTCGCCGGAGGAGGAGGCGGTGGAGGCGGAGTGCCCTGACTTGCCGGAGGAGGAGGAGGAGGAGGAGGCGGAGGCGTCCAGTTTGGAAGGTTGATGAGCTCCTTCCGCCATAGGCATGGAGTCTTCAGAGCAGACCCCAGCCGAGTCTCCCCTTCACCGGTAGGGTGGTCAAGCTGGAGGTCCTCAAATCCCTCCGTTATCTCATCCACCATCACCCTAGCCCTTCTGGAATCGGCCGACAGTAAAAAGTTGCGCCGGGTTCAGTAGGATAAACAGAGCCAACAGCCGCCTTGACCTTCAAATTCATCCATTGCGTCATAAGGTGGCAATTTTGAGACTCCGTTATAGCATCCACGGGATAGCTGGCAGGAGCCGTCAAGGCATGCTCCGGCTGAAGCAGCTCGGTGGAAGCCACGCTGCTTCTGCGCTGAGATGGCGGGGTAGCTTCGGGGGAGGCTTCGGCAGTATGTTTGCTGTGATTTGCTTCTCGTTCCTCTATCGCGTCTACCCTTGCTTGCAGCGCCTGCATTTGGGTCTGCTGCACTTTTTTCCTCCTCTCATGGGATTTGTAACCGTC